GTGGAAATGGATGAGGACGTCGGGAGGAGCATCGCCAAATGAAATGATAACAGAGAATGGGCTCCGGATGAAGTGGCAGTGGCGGCGACAACTTGGCGCAGAATGGGGCCAAAAGTCGGCTTAAATCGAAAGGGAAACGGCCAGCTTTGAGTCTCAAGAGGTCGCCATGTGCGGATACTTTACTGGCACTCTGATAAGTTTCCCATAAGATCCATCTACGTTGTTCCATTCCCATTGATCCCTGACCTATGCTGAGTGGGCAATATCGAGATGTTTATCTTGTTACCGGAACCGCACAAAGTTCCTCTAGAGCACTGAGGAAAATTTGGGAAGCTTTTATTTATGTAAAATTATATAATTTTTTTCAACTTAAAACCTTAACTTACAAATTCTTATTAAATTTATCATAGTTAAGAGATCGCTTTTTCTCTAAATCTGATCCAATTTGTTTCCAAATCTTAGACCTTTTCCTCAGTGCTTTCGGTAAACAACTACCACAAAAGCTGAGCAAACTCAGATGCAGCTCTCACGGTAGCAGCACCTTCGCCTCTGTGGTTAAACGTTGGCGATGGCCCCCGGAAAACTGCCACCTTATCACCTTATCAGTGTGCCTCAATGTTTGACCACCTTTTCGGACGAACTACAAGGGCACAAAATACAAAAAAAAAAGTACAAAAAATAAAAACACAAAAGAAGAAAGGACGGCCGACCGCTGAGAGCAAACACGAAACGAGCAACTGCATCCGTTGGATGCATTTCAATGCGGCCCGAATGGCAAGGCAGCAAGTTTATTTGAATTTGTTTGACAAAAGTGTCGTAAAAACGGCTGCGAGTGCGTGGGAAAATGTGGGCACTGCCTAAGTAAACAACATGAAATATAAAAAACGAAAAAGAGCCATGAAAAAATACATACTACAGAGGCGGCTGCAATTTGTTTACACGCGCTGTATCTGTTAGATACATTTCATATTTGTGAACTTGTGAAAATCGCTGAGACGTCTCAGCGCTGCTAATTAGGCGCATTTGTCCTCAACTTGACATGCGCTTACAAATTGGAAATGAAAATGGGCATGGAAATGGAAATGGAAATTTTCGAGCGTTGTTTACAGCTTCGTGTTAAAGCTGTAAATATTTGGGATTACCCCCACCTTCCGCCCACCCCTCATCGGTCCAGCTTGAATCCAATTTAATAACAAAAGCGGCAAATGGCCCATTGCCATGATAAAAGATGCCCGGCCAAAGTGTGCATCTTGTTTCGCTTGGCATATGCGAAAATGGAAAGCCACAAATTCAAAATTCTCCGGAGTCGCCGCTCATTTCTTATATTTGCTCATGAGCTAACGGCCACTTGAAGATATCACTTAATGAGATTTGCGCATCTCCGAGTGCAACAACAGCAGCAAATAATGAAGACGTGCTTGAGTTGCCAAGTGCCCCGGGGGATCTGCTATATGTATCTGCGGGGTTTGGGGTGTGCACCGCCCAAAATATATGTTGATTTATTCGACCATTAAAAAGTTCTGAACCAAGTATTTATAGATTTATTATTAGTCTAATATATTATAAATAAAAGTAGATTTTTTATAGAATATTTTCGAGTTTTACAATTGAATTCAATTATCTTTTATAACCCATTATCTCTTATACCTTGTTATATATTAATTTTAAATCTAAAAAATTCCCATAAATTTCATAGAATTTAAAATTCCTCTCTGTGTACTACAGGGTGCAGGGTGCTGCACCTCGCGCATCCCTCAACTGAATGCAGCAAACGAACATCACTTGATTCTGATTAGCGTGCTGTCAAGCGTGAGAGTTGCATATACCCTCGCAGATACTTGTGATTCGAAGGCGGGGATTTCTATATATATACATATACATACATATAGGATGCTGCGTGGGCAGGAGGGGGGTTGAGGGGTCACGACGCCGACGATACCAAAAGCCAGATAACAGCCGTCGAGAATACCCAAGCCGATGTCCATTTGGCCTCCGGTCGCGTTTTTAATCGCTTAATAAGCTCGACCGAACTTGTAATTAAGCCCAGGCGAAAGGCGGATAACAAGAAATAAAACAAAAACTCTACAACAAAATTTAAGATGTAATAAAGAGGATTTAGTTTACCTAAATTTATTATAAGTCTAATATTATTATTAGCTGGAAGAATATTTTTCAAAGGAAACAAATATTTTAAGCAAGCAAATATATTATAACAAAGTGACAAATAATTCTTGAGTTTGGTCGATTCTTTTAAAATACCGCATTTAGTTATATTTTAAATAAAGATCCCTGTTAGTTAACATATATAAGTATACGCACAATATTCAAATTATCTAGGGCTATTTTCCGCTTGATAAACACTTCTCAATTTTGAACACATGAGTGATTGCATTGGTTGAGTAAATATATATTACAAAGTTCTCATGTAAATATTATGGTTATATTTAAGAATTTATATTAAGAAATTGTACCATAGAATTGAACTGTTGCTCGTTTGATGTCGTAGGCAATCCAGTTAGTTTCCAACATGTAATCGCCGTCAGGAAATGGCAGCACCCTTGTTAAGTGATGATTTACGAAATCGGCGGGAAGCTTTTCAAATAAAAGATCATTCTGGGAGTAAGGAACAAGTTATTTCCAAATAAAAAAATATATATAAAAATTCAAGAAAAACCTACATAAAAGGACAAGTATGATTCATGTTCGAGTAAAGTTCAACAAAGCGGTAAAAATATTTCACAACAGGATTCGAGTATACATCTTTCAGGAATCTGCAGGCATCTACTGTGACATTATACATAAATGGTTTGTAGCCATTAAAACGTTTAAATAATATTAAATTTATCTATAAAAGTAAAAAGGTTTTGAGTTATGAAATTATGCTATTATACCTATATTTATATTTACTTTTACTTTGGTTACAGGAAGCTCGTGCAATTTACATTTCACTGAAACATACTTGTAACTTCTATTAACCGACTTTATGTCGCAATATTCGAAATCACTGAATGCCTCATCAAAGGTAGAACATTTGAGATTTGTAAACTCAAACTTGGAGGATATCTGCAAAAGATTTTGATTGAAAAAGTATCTTTAAATATCATTACACTCACCTCGGCAACTAAATATAAAATAACAATGAGCTGAGCAAAAGTAATGACTTTATTTGTCATTTTATCGATGAACATTAAATAAATATAGCTAATACGTGTTGAACACTCAAAAGCGGATTGAAGAATGAATTAAAAGTGATATAAAATTTAACATTTTTCCATCATTAAGTATCGCACAGTTGGTCACAGTCTATTGCTTGCTTTTATTCCTAATGAATGAATAATTTACATATAACAAATTGAGTAATTAGTTTGATTTAACATTTAAATGTTCTTTTATTTCAAATAGATGACAAAGATATAATTTAAATTTCTTGGATGACTGGGCATATAGTTTCAAATACAAATCGATTAAAATGAAAAGAATGAATTTGTTTTTCAGTTAGTATTAGCTCTTCTTTATTTTTTACATTTTATTTGCTTATAAATTGAGGAATTTAGGCTTCGAGAGTCAGGAGAAAATCACTAGAACACCTGTATATTGATTTGCTTTGATTGAAAACAGCTTCTACTATATATTTGGTACCTTTTGCGGCCTAGAATGCAGCCAGGCATATCGAATAGACCCACCCACCGAAAGGTATTAGCACTCCCACGCACAGGTTCGCCCAACTCAATTGAAAGATTTACCTAACAAATCTCTGGCCCTGATCATGTTTACTTAGGATAAATAATTCAATATACATGGGGCTCCAAAAAAGGTGGGCAACCGGAGGCGAATCTCGGCATTGTGGCACAGAACCAGCCCAGTTCCGCCTCCTGACCCGCCTATCTCTTTGATTGAATCTCTCTGGCTTTATTGTATTCCTCGCTGCTCGACATCCTAAATAAGAATGAATATATAGATAAAAACAATGTGCAGGAGCTCGTATGTGTGAGTTAGAGAGAGGTGGATTTTGATTTAACACTGGTAGAAAAATATATAAATCAAGATTGAAAATATGGTAAGCTAAAATAGATTTATTGAGTTTAAAAATACCTAAAAGATAATCAATTTTAATTTATATAATATTAAGGTTCAATCAGAGTTTTTATGACAAAGAAACAGCTTTAATAATATTTTTTATAAATATATTCGCTTTAAATAGTTATTATTAAAATCACATATTGATAATTTTAAAGAAGGTACCAACATACTTAATCCTTTCTCTCCTTACAAACATTTTCCTTAGCTTTTTAAATATTTTTCCTCTGTGCACAAATATTCAATATTCCATCTGAGATTACATACATGTGTAGATATACTCGAATGCCTCCATGTGGACTAGAGAAGTTATCATACGCCTCGTCAGTTTTATTTGCACGAGCTCGGTACGTCTTGTCAATTGAATTATTTGAAAGGCCCGGCAAAAGACAAATTGATGGACTCACAAAGAGGAATGCTCGGTGCATACTTTATGCAGAGTCAAGAGTTTTGGCAACCACTTAAAGGATTCCAATTGCAAAAAATTTCGCAAAATTTGAAATAGATTTTCAACCCAAGTTCCCAGCAGAGGCAAAGAGCTCGCTCTTCTCTTGCATTTTGCACGCTTTCCCTGATTGCTTTTGTTTGCACTTCACTTTCTCCGCCCCCCCGTTGCTCATTTTCTTTCAATTCTAGGAAATAAAATTTATATTTTTGACTGCACTCTTAAACTTTGCTGGTCTCTGACCAGCCTTGAATCCATCTTTTCGCTCTTATTTACCACTATTTCATTCCAGCCCTGCCCAAGGGGCAACGAAAAGTTTTAATTGCAATTTTCAGTTTGACATTATTCGTTGTTGGCGCGCATTTTTCGTAGACGTCTTTTTGGAATTAATGAAAACTTATTTACTCGGGGTCAACAAGTCACTAAGAAGCCCCACTGATTTTTCACTTCTCCGATTCTTTTCCATTGCAACTTGCAGGGCGCCCACGGATCGCAAGAAGGAGCACATCAAGCGCCCGATGAACGCCTTCATGGTCTGGGCCCAGGCAGCCCGTCGGGTCATGTCCAAGCAGTATCCGCATCTACAGAACTCGGAGCTCAGCAAATCGTTGGGCAAACTCTGGAAGTAAGTAAACTATATATACATCACTCGAAATAAGGAAAGAGACAAGGAAAGTTAGGACTTTAGTGGACTAAGAGATACCCTAGAGGCAAAATGAGGATCTAAGATTAAAAACAGAAAAAATATAATAGATCTGAGAGAACCACAGGAATATCTAATGATTAAAATGAAAAGGTTAAGCATTCGTAAGTAGACTATATAATTCCGCTTATTGCTAAGCTTTCATTACCTTTAAAGTTTCAATACCGCCTCCTGTTACCTGTTACATCCACTCTCACAAATACAATATACCCTTAGACCCTCTTTTATATCCCGTGTAAATACAAAAATGCAGAAATGGGAGAAGCACGTCTCTGGCAGCATAAACGTTGGGGCATGGACCACTTGGAAAGTGTCTTTTATAAGCTCCACTTCTCGGCCAGACAAAGAAGCCACCAGGAGACGAAGCCAGTGAGTGGGAGCATCCAACCCCTCGACGTTTATTTAAGGGCTTTTGGCCGAGACAGGGAATTGCATTAGGAGACAGTTCTTAGTGCCAACCAAATGATATCAGGTACTCAAAGGAAACCCCAGCTACGGCAACAATAAATAAAGTCAGAAAATACCTAATATAAGTGAAGATATATAAAGTTAGGATACATCTCATATAGCAAACATTTGCTTTTGGATTTATGGCATTTTAATTCAGACGTGTTTTGGTTATAATATATTCAAATTCAAGCTAACTTTTTAATAAAATAAAACAATAATAAATAAATAGGAAATAAAATCTGACCTCAGTCAATACAAAATCAAAACTCTGCACAAAAAATTACTGTGAAATTCCTTCAAAGTGATTCAAGAATCGAAATTATATTTAGAATATATAGAATACATTTCCGATCGCGTGAATCACTGCCTTCTCACCCCTAGAAATCTATCTGCCACTGATGGATCAGATTAATCCCAAACTGTCAGGCCAAAGGCGATCTGCGCCACAGCGGCGTCGCTTTCCACATTGTTTGTAATAAAATATTGTCCGGTTTGAAATTAAAATTTCACAGTTCAGTGCTTTGGGGGCCAGAGATAAGCATTCTTTGGCTGATAAGAAAGCAAAGCATCCGCCTCAACTAATTGGGAATGCGAGAACTGAACCAATTTGTTAAGCCATAAATAAAGCTCATTTAAATTGACTGTCACAGGGAGTGTTTTTTACTTTAAAAAAGTCTTGCAGAGAATTAATTGGAATAAACATGAAGAAACTAAGCGAAATTAAAAAAATAAAAAATAACAAACTGCGCTTAGAATACTATTAAACATTTTTCCTTTAATGAAGAAAGAAATTCTTTAGAATTCCTATTAACTTTATTCTTTAAGAACTTCAAGAACTTCCTCTTATTGTATTTCTTGTATATATATTTTTACAGAAATCTTAAGGATAGCGACAAGAAGCCTTTCATGGAATTCGCCGAGAAGCTTCGCATGACGCACAAGCAGGAGCATCCCGACTACAAATACCAGCCGCGTCGCAAGAAGGCGCGCGTTATGCAGCCGCAGAGCCAAGGAGAAGGAGGAGCTCCTTCTGGAGCCGACACACCATCATCCAGTTCGGTTAACTCGAAGCCAAGGAATAGCACTTCCTCCATGGCAGGCAACGGCCAGAGGCGAGCTGGGAAGTCGGGAAGTGCATCAGGATTGGGCCTTTGTACGGCCGCCAGCTCCAATTCCAGTTCCAGTGCAAATTTGGCGCTGACCGGCAGCAGCAGCTCCGATGTCTTCAGTAATGAGGCCTTCATGAAGTCCCTGAACAGTGCCTGTGCGGCCAGCCTGATGGAGCAGGGTCTCAGCCTGGGCAGCGAAACGGGCCTGGATTCACCCTGCTCGACTGGCAGTTCCCTTTCCTCGCTGACGCCCCCGGCCACGCCATACAGTGGAGCCTCCTCCTCGGCAAACCACGGCCGCTCCACAGTTCCAGCTGCAGTGGCAGCAGCAGGCAATAACCCGAGCCTCTTGCTGCGGCAACTGAGTGAGCCGGTGGCGAATGGCTCAGGCCACGATTATGGAGTCTTGCTGGAGGCCGGCAGGGAGTACATAGCTCTGGGTGAGGTCAATTACCAGGCACAGGGAGCAACATCGGCGGCAGGTCAGGAAATGGACTTCCTGGAGAACATCAATGGATATGGCGGCTATGCGGGCGGAAGGGTGAGTTACCCAGGCTATTCCTACACTGCAACTGGGGGAGGATTTGGCACGGAGCAGCAGCAGCACCACCACCATCACCACCACCAGCAACCTCAGCCGGCGTCACAGGCCAGTGGAGCCTTAAATTACAAGCCCACCAGTGCCTCCGTTGCCGCCGCCGCTGACATCGATCCCAAGGAAATTGACCAGTATCTCATGGATCAAATGCTGCCCATGACGCATCATCATTCGCCGCCTTTGAACTCCTCTGCCTCGCTCTCCTCGGCCTGCTCCAGTGCTAGTTCGCAGCCGGTGGTGGAGTGTGCTGCCTACTATGAGCACTTGGGCTATCCCACATCCACCTCCTCCTCCTCCATTGGCAATCAGGGCTCCCAGGGCTCGCCCTTTGCCCCACAGCAACCATATGCCAATGGCAGTGCAGGAGTAACTGCCTCCCTGGCTCCCGCCTTGAGTGTTTCCTCTCCGCAGCAGCAGCAGCAGCAGCAGCAGCAGCAGGACCTGCAGCAGCCACTGCAGGAGCAGCATCAGCAACAGCATCAGAATCCATCGCAGCATCATCTGTGGGGCACTTACACTTATGTCAATCCCTAAGCTACTTAATTTGCACATTTGTTGCCCTGCACAGAGGGAAATAATATTAGTAAAGTTGGAAGTCTCTGAAATATCTTAAGCTAATATTTGCTGTCCTATTTTGGGTTGTCAATGAAGATTTAAAACCATAAAAGTTCCTTAAGGCCATTGAAAACTTGAAAAAATATTGTATATTTATTCTATTTAAATGTATAAAAGCTAATGATTCCCAAGTTGATGTTATTCTTATATAAAATTCTGTAAAGGGTTTTTATTTATTTTTATCAGCTTAATACATTTTAAGTTTTACCTAAAAAATAATCACCTTATCATAAGCTCTTTTAGGAAAATTGTTTAACTGGCTTCTGTTAACTTGATTGTATTTTTTCCTCTGTGTAGGCACCCCTGTTCACCTCCAAATTCCTCCCCTCTTTATGGGTCACTCAGATGGCTTTCGTTTATTGGTTTATTGTCTGTGCAATGTCTGTGCAAGTGCGAGTGCTACTGTGTGTTTGTGTGTGTGTGCTTGGCTCGAGGGTCTCTTTGAAGATTCCCAGCAATTTAAGCTAATCGCTGCGATTTTCGTTTATGGCTGCATTTCTCTCCCTTCCTCCTCCCCGCATCAATATGCGATTCGAATGCGAATCGAAAAAGAAATGCCAAGCCAATATAATCAAAATGGAAATTGTTTCATGAGTTGTTTTTGCTTTGGCGAAACATAACCCAATGGTTGGGGCTGATATCATAGCTAATTGGAAGCAATATAAACTAGTTATTTTATTGACAATTTGAATAAGTAAGCAAATAATATTTAAACAAGCAAAGACAGTATACGCAAGTGTGTAAAAAATATGTAAGAAAGCTATGAATATGAACTAGAGTTCTAAGTAAAATGTATAGTTAAGATAAATTTGTAAAAACAAATCCCATCACATCAAATGTTAAACAGTTGGAAGGTATAATAAATTTATAAAAAATCTTTTGGAAAATAAATATAAAATATTTTAAATTATAAAACCCAATTATCTGAAAGAAAAACGAAACAATTGGGTTCAGAGCGAAGTCAAATAAGGTAAGCAAATCCAATTTGTATCAATTTACAGTTTGGATTTAATATCAGTTTCCCCAGATTTTTGTTTGAAAAAAAACTCGTGCAAAAATCTGCAATCTTAAATTGCCCGTGGCTGTCTGAATATCCCCCGAAAAGGGCGTGGCTTATGGCAGTTTCCCACACTTTTTGGTTTCGGAATATTCAAACTGGTTTCTGTGCGTGTCGGCTGGTTGGTGCTTTAAAAGCACCTGTAACCGTTGTAAAACCAAAATAAATTCCAACGAAATTAACACCCGCCTACCAAAAACGAGTATTTTACTTCATTTTTTTTTCGCAGAGCAAAACAATTTGTGATAAAATGAAAATCACACTCAGCCTCGAATGGTTCAAACGCTTTATTTTCTGTTTGTTTTCTCCTTTGCATTTATTTTATTTATTTAAATTTTTGGAAGCTTAAGTTCAATTTGCGCCTCCTGTAACAAGTTGCTGTTAATTGAAGCGCAAACAGGAAAGGAAACAAAAGCAGTGCAAAATAAAATAAAAAAAACAACCAAACGAACGAAAAGGCGACGAAGAGAAACATTAGAAAAGAAGAAAAACAAAAATGGCCGGAAAAAGAAAATGGCGAAACACAAACTGAAATGTATTTATATGTGTATGCATTAATTTAGAAAGTTGCAAATTAACACATTTACCGAAAACCCCCTTGTTTATTTATTCGCATAATTTATGTACAGTATTTATTTTCAGATTTTTTTTCTCTCTTTCGCTTCTTTTCGAGTTGGTGCCAGTCGCCAGACGCTTTCTCACTAATTATGTAAATTATATTTGTCGATTTCGCGACCGCCGATTGGGCAGCCGATTTGCTGGAATTATTGCGCCACAAAAAAGAGGCAAGAAAGTATCGAAAACTGCTCGGGGGCCAAAGACAAAAGTTCTGGGGCAAAATGAATAATCAGTTAATGAGCTTGCATTATTAATATATCAATTAAGTTGTTCAATGAGAAAGATTTGAAGCTGATTGGATTTTTAATGAATTATGCAAAGCATTTGCGATGAATATATTGTATATGAGGGTAGGTATAAAATCTAGACAGAGTTGCAAAGCTACTTAATAGTTGAGATACTCAGAAATAAAAATTGCTTTAAATTTCCTTAAATACAAATCTAAAAAGGTATTTTTTAGAAACAAGGATATTGGTTTAATTATTTTGAATACTTTGCATTAGTTAAATCGTCACAACTTGTTGAATAATTAAGCTGTATTGCGTTTTTCTTTTTATTCATTTATTTTTTATAAATTGAAAGCTTCTTAAGTTCTTTTGTATTTCAATTAGCTGCTTAATATTTAAAACTTCTTTTCAACCAAATAATCTTTGCTTTCCTAATAAATTTGTCTTCACTTAATTCGTTTCTAACAAAACCCAGCTTATTTTCTATTTCTTTCTAATAAATAGGTATTTATTTGATGAAAATAATCTCTACGTTTCATTTCTATTTGAATTTACGTTCTCGGTAATCGCTTAGTGATGAGGCAAAGATTAGTGAAGTAATTTAATTTACCTCAATTTTGAATGAAGCTCAGCGGTGGAAGGCGAAATGATTTTTAGGTTGCGGGGTGGGACTGGAGGTATTCACGTGGCTGGAGTGAAATGCACTGAAGCAGCAAATGTGGATGTCATTCCTCATTAATTTTCGGAGCGGACAGGCCAAACAAATGTTGTGACTGCCTGACGTCGCCCATTCATGTCCTGGCCAAGGACACCGCTCTTCTTTGTGCTGTTGGCTGTTTAAATGTTATTAAAACTAATGACGTTTGCAGCAAACTTTGACCCGAACTCTGGCCTCTCTTTTTATTGCCGGTCATGCAACGGGGCGTATGCGTAATGAAATTCAGTTGCCTTGTGCTCTCTCGACGTAACTCAATTAATGGAGGAGTTGGAAAGTTCTGCCATGCGGTCTCGGTTTAAATTCACTTAAAACTTGGCTGATCCGATTGTTTGGGATGGACCACCTCTCTCATTAGGCCGGGGCTTAGCACCTGAGCTCGTGTCTGAATGAAAATATTATTCAAATTGGGCGGCACACGAGTCCCGCCTAATGGCCGTGGAAAATCTTTGAAAAGTGCTGCTAGCTTGGGATTTTTTCTAGTCAGAGCGGGATATTAAATTTTTAGAATAAATATATAGCTTAAACTAACTAAAGAGTTATGTATTATTTATTTCTATAAACTAACAATATTGTTTTTCAGCTGGCAAATATAATAATCATCTCTTTATATTTTTTTTTAAAACCCTTCAAATATTTGCTTTCTTGTAGTTTTGCTCAACATTTTTCGGCATCACTGCTAGTGACCCCTTGGCAAATCTAACTTGGACTTGGAAAGTGTGCCACAGCCTGCTCAAAAAACGAAATTGTAGGAGAGGAAAAATGGATGGGGCCGAGTAATGGCCGCATTCTGGCTGTTGTTCTCCTCTGCAATTTGGTTTTTAACGGCAGCAAAATGTGAAAATGTCAGGCACTCAAGCAGCTCAAGTTATCCTGTGGAGTGGCGAACAAAACAAAGAAGAAAAATAATAATGTGGAGCCATTTGAATAAAATATAAGGCGAGAAAAGTTAAATGTAATGCGAAAGCCGCAGCCAAGCTTCATTCTTTTTTTTTTTCTTTTCTTTCGTTTTTGTATGTTGTGCGTTGCCTACTTGAAAGTAAATTGAAATTTCGTTTCGTTTTTTAATACTCTTGCAGAAGTACTCACATTATAACGGACATTTAAGATGGTGAATGAGGCATGTTTTTAAGATGAAATCACAGATATATAGCCAAATTAGAGGTCTTAAGACATGGGAATAAGTTTGTGGTAACTTATCTCTTGGAAGTTATTATTGAAACTTATTTGGGAATACTCAGTTTATGTCTTTCTTTCTTTTAGGGAATCTATACATAATAATAATAGACTAATTATTCCATTTATATTTCTTAAGGGAACGCGTATTGCAATGTTAAATACATTTATAGGAAGAATCTAATACAGAAGAATCTAAATATTAACAAATTTCCTCCTTCTTATTCTTAAAAATAATCAAAAATAGGTCAGTGTATCTCAACTTCGCTGCCTAAACATTAAAAGTCTTAGTTGCTTACTCAATGTTACCTGCCTCGTTTAACCGAAATATGTATATTCGAATTTTTAATGCGACCCATGCCCTAAAAAAAAAACCCCAAAAAGCGAGAAAGGTAAGATGATTTTAATGGCGACCAGCATTAGACGAAGGTCTTTTATCGCCGCCCCCCCAAAAGGAACCCAACGCCTAAAAGCAGGCAGTGCGAAATGCAAACACAGTCACACAAAACTTGAGCGACTGCTTTAATGCGCTCGCCTGGAAGTATGCAGCAAAATAATTTTGTTTGCACATCAATCAAAGCGTTTTTTTTCGGGGGGCGTAGCAGGGGAAGGTTTCAGCCAAAAAATCACTTTTGGACCACCGCCCGCGCATTTAAGCCATCAATCAGCGTCGGGCAAATGCTGCTTATCATATTGCTGGTAGACGAGAAACGCTGCTGCCAGTGCATCAAATTGATATTTGTCAATAATCTTATTTTATATGTATATATATATACACATTTTTTTTTCAGCTGCGAAGGCTGCGGATGTAGCTGGATATATAGCTGGCTGTGATAAATGTCAGCCAACATGACAAAATATGCTCTGCGGTTGCAGAAGAGACGTGACGAGAGAGAGCAGCACAATGGCACGAAATGGTTGAAAATTACCAATAAATGGCCACATCAATTTAATTAAAAATACTTTTGTGTGATATTATAAAAAGGTGTAAGGTTTTTTCTTTGCGGGAAAATCACTTTTGTAGCCGTGAGCTGCTAGTGAAGCTAATTAAATAGTCAGTTGGCCGGAAATTGATGTATGTAAATTTTTAAATGGCTTTCAAGCGACTATTATATAAAAAAGGTTATTTACTTTTTTCATAAAAGAAATTAATTTAGATTAAATATATATTTTTTTATTTATACTATAAAGCATCAATCAGAGATATCCTTCCAGCTTACCACTCACATATGAGTCAAAAGACAAAAGAAAATAAATCTTAAACATGAAAAAAGGCTTTTAAATTGGTTACACTTTACAAAAAAAAAAATAGAATTGTATAGATTGAGATTCAAAGGGATATACAATCACACATAACCCCAGGTGAAGTTTGATTTCCCATCCATCGCTGCTTAAATTTATCAAATATTTGTCCATATTCTATGGTATATCCGTTGAGCTGCACTCAGAGTTAATATTTGCCCGTGTCCTCCCCTAAGGACCCGCCCAATTCGGCTCGATTTGGCGAAACTATCAACTGGATTGAAGGACAACTTTAATGTGCACACAGCACATAGCATCCATCCATTAGCAAAGGCATCGAGCCCTGGGCAGATAGTATACTTTGAGTGGGCAAAAGCAGCTTGTTAGGCACTCGAGCCTTTGCCGGTTGCTACTTTGGCAGTATCTTGTGCCTTTCTACGGGCTCCAGCTCATGTCTCTGCTTCAGCTCCTGCTTCAGCTCCTTCTCCTGCCTACTTGTTTTCAATTATCTGGCATTACACTTAGATACACACTTTGATACACATCATTGGCTGCTGTGTGTGTGTCTCTCTGTGTGTGAACGCGTTCTAATCAATGAACATTGAATAACTCCTGGCATGTGGATGGGGACTTTTTACGAACACGTCTGCACTTTACATTCAGGAACTGAAGAGGACCCAAAGGGAAATTGATGCGTACACAAAGTATGAGCACATAGTGATGGGAGAGTACCTACGTAGATAGTTAGTTAGTTACTAGGAAGTTGAATAGGAGATATTTATATGAATTCTAATATAATTG